ATTGTACAGTGGCAGTAAGTGCCGTAATGTGCACCTCTGTCTACCCCTTCGGGGATAAAAGGCGTGATGTTATGTTATGTTGTTAAATAATATGTAGGCAATAAAGCGAAATAGATTTTAACAACAACTTCGCAGAATTCATACATTTATTATTAGTTCATCGAGGTGTAAAGTTCATTATTGTTATTTTAAGCAAATTATCACACTTAATATTAAGCATAAATGTGAAAATTTATTTGTTTGAGATGTTTGTCTGTCAATCACATTGCAACTACCGATGAAATTTATTTATTTATTTATAATTTGGAGAATCAGTAGTTGCTATATAAGGTCTTATATCTAAGTACTTACATAGTAATAAATTTTAAATTCACAACATTTTAAGGTGTCACAACACGCACAGTAGCCTAACGATGACACTTTTATCAGTATTTGCGACAATTGAAAAATAAACTAAAAACTAAGAAATACTTACTTAAAATTAAAATATAAAATAAAAAAATTAAATAAAAAATGTAAGTACATATTATCAAAAATCTAAAATCTATAGATAAATCTATATGATATACAGGCAGGGTATGGGTTAACATAAGTGATAGGAATTTTATCCTGATTAAATGCTCCCATGGAATAAAACAGGAATTTTATATTTTTATTTATTTAAAAAAAAAACGTTGCCCCACACTAGGATTTTCTCCTGTGTCGTGGGTGCGTTTACAAACATACAAGTTCACATACACAATGACACCCAGACCCGAAACAACAATTTGTGGATCACACAAAGAGTTGCGCGGTGCGGGAATCGAACCCGCGAAACGTTGCGCGGCAGCCAACCGTGCATTCAAATCATTCTACGCGGACAAAGTCGCGGGCAATAGCTAGTAATTAATATAATAGTGATAGTGAGGCACTTTTACAGTACATCAATAATTTACCCTATACTTATTAACGCTTGGTTGAAGATCGTAGGTTAAAACGGTTTTACTGAGAGCACTGCAGCCTGTCTTTTTTTTGTATTAGATGGGCCGGCGTTTGACCACTATCTCGCCTGGTGGTAAGCGATGATGTGGCCGACGATGGAGCACGTCGACCCATAAGCAACCTATTCACTCGGGCCTTGAAGACATCCAGGTTATACCCTTCAGGAAATACAGACTCTGGCAAAGAATTCCACTCCTTAGCAGTACGCACAAGGAAGCTTGATGCGACGTGCTTCGTGTGTGTGGGTGGGATATTTATTCCCCTATACTTATTATACTCTTTGAATATCTACCATGAATCGGTGACGCTTTCTCAAATATGAAGTCCTATGACCACCTTAAGACTAAAGGCTGTGACTTTAATATTTTGCTCTACTGCCAATTTTTTTTTAACTTTGCCCCACTCTAGTATTTTCTTCTGTGTCGTGAGTGCGTTTACAAATATACTAGTTCACATACACATGACAGCCAAACCCGAAAAAGCAATCTTTGGATCACATAAAGAGCTCCGTGCGGGAATCGGTCCCGCGACACGTTGCACGGCAGTCAGTTGCCCAGCAGTCAAATTTCTCCAACTTTCAGCATCTCCAGGACCCCGCTCATCCCTTGATAAAGTACGGAACATAAAACTGCTATAACGACTGTACTGTCAAGAGCATGGGGGCAATTTATATTTTTTCTCTCACCCCTCCGCTTGTCCTGAGAAAAATTACGCAGCTCTTTATTACAAGTGAGTAATTTTTGACACTGAAATGTCAGCAAGTGAGATATTTTTGTTTAAGGATAAATTTCACGCTGTGGTGCTGTTTTGCTGCCTTTTTAGAAATATCTTCGGTTTTTTTTTGTTTTGTTTTTGTTTGTGTGTGTGTGCGTATGTGTGAAGGAGGATGGATAAATGTGATGACATAATATCACGCCTTTTATCCTCTAGGTATGGACATATGTGATGACATAACATAACATCACGCCTTTTATCCTTAAAGGCGTAGGCAGAGATGCACATTACGGCTCTTAAAGCCGCTGTACAATGTAACACCAACTTTTCACTATTTATGTTATGAGTCCCGTGTGATAGGGGGTGAGCCTATTGCCATATACTGGGCACAATTCCAGACTCCGTGCTACTCTAATAGGAGGTAGCAGAGATATCTGGTAATTTAGTGTTAAAATGTATATAGGTATATAAGAGTCTTACTTGAGAGCAAAGTTAGTTGTTTGAATCTTCGTTTTTCAGACATTCAGTTCATTGAACTTCGGTGATTATATAATTATCGCTGTAACCGGAACGTTCGCCGCGTTTTCCTATAATAAAAGTAGTCTATGTTACTCCTTACTACATCAGCTACCGGCCAATAAAAGTCCCTTTAATATCTGTCCAACCATTTCAGAGATTAGTCACTATAAACAGACAGACATATAGACAAAAACTGTAAAAAGTGCTTTTGTTATATGTATCGCACGTATGCACGTAGTAAAAAGCAGTTCTTTCAATATTATGAACAGACACTACAATTTTATTTAACTGTATAGATGATTAGAGGGATGTTATGTCGAGCTCTTCCATGTAGACAAAGGAGGCCTGCAGTCTTATAGTGGACTGTTACGAATTACTGTGGAATACTTAGATATTTTTATTATGTTAGAAAAAATGGCCCTTTTCATAATAGAACTAATTGGGTAGTTTCCAGGGTATCAAGATTAAAAATCTAATTAGTCCGTCAGTTAAATAATGAAAAAATATGAAATACAAATAAGAAACATGAAATGGCGCTAAGTTTAGGAGTGGGAGGTCGTTACGTCATAACGTGCTACAAAATGCGACACGCTGTGACGTCACACGATATTTCAAATAAATATATCGTCGAAAGTATTTAATTTTGTTACAAAAGAAAAAATACGTGTCTAAAGTTTTAAATTAACGTACCAGACGGACATTACCTAAAATAAAATTTAGAAAACTACCCTATTGGACATACCTTCTTTAAGACATTCAGTCAAAACACAACTTGACCTGATTCCTTAAACTAAATATCAAATACACTTTTAAGAAAATACAAATTACCTAATCTGTATTTCGCCATTGTTTATAATACAGTGAAGGAAATAAACAGAATTATAATATTTCTGTTAGGAAGACAGGCAGAAAACAGATTGCGTCGTCATAAATCATTGTAATAGAATTACGATAAAATAATTAGCTAATGTCGGCTGTATTATTATTTGATTAGGTGCTAAATTCATTTGTATTTCGTGTTGTGAAAAAAGTTAAAATCATAAAATTAAGCGTTTGTTTTTTTATGGCATAAGCCGGTAAACGAGCAGACGGATCACCTGATGGTAAGCAATCGGCGTCGCCCATGGACACCTGGAATACCAGAGGCGTTACAAGTGCGTTACCGGCCTTTTGGGGATTAGGAGTTTAAGGATCGTTCGGGATTCAGGAATTGGGGAGACTGGGGAAGGGGAGCGTAATTGGGCCTCAGGTAACCTCACTCACACGACGAAACGGTTTTCTGTGAGGCCGTGGTATCACTTCGGTCGAGCCATATTAATAATATTACTTGAATTGAAAAAAATCAATTATAATTTTGACATTCGAGATTCACTTTTTGTTCTGAAATCGAACAAATTATCGCGTCTTAAAAATAATTAATTCTAACACTAATTACTTAATAACTTAAACATATGAGAAGTCGCGAGAACCTAATGGGTAACCGGGGCTCCGGCTCGACGTGCAGGAGAAGGAACGGGGTGGTTTTTAGTCAGTAAAAGTCTGACACTCCCTCCCGCCTCACCCAGGCGGGAGCGGTCATTCAATGATTTTCCCCCCTTAAAAAAAAACATGAGAAACGTCATTTTGGTTCATTTTGCATCCTCAACGACAGCCCTACATAATTAGTAAGTAACAAAATATTTTGTTTTGACGTTCAAAAGTGCCTTATTGTTCTAATTGATATACTTAAATGATTTTAACTTTGTTCATAAAAAGAGTTGGCCTGGCGTCACCACTCAGATAACTAGATAACAACATCGTTAGCCAAGACTGTCATTCATTTACAAATCTTCAAAGAAATAAAAGCAATTGCGATAATATTTTAAGGCTCCGTTGAGAAAATATTACGATCGTTTACTCTGACACACTTTTTCACTAAAAACGTCGCCATTATGCCTATACCTACCTTCTAATTTATTCTCCGATACATCTTAATAAAATGACAAGCGGATTATAAAGAGCCGTAACACATTTTACTATATTTGATTTAGGTATTACATGAAGCGCGTCCATAAGCTGTTCATACACGCAAATATTAAATATTGATAAACGCCTGCTAAAATTGTTATAGCAACGTGTTGTAAATGTACGTAATAAATTTATTGAATAATTCATGAGTAGGCGTCGGTTTTGTTTAAGTGGTTTGATAGATTTCTTTGTGGTGTAATGAATAAGTTTGTCTTTGCTTAGAAATCTTATGTTACGCGGGAAAGTTTAAGTTCAATTTTTAATTGATCAGGAATAACTCAAAATATTATCGCTTTACGTCTTTAATGGTGTACTTACAGTGATTTGTAGTACAGTGAAACCTGGTTAAGTGAGACATCAAGGGACCTGCAATGCCGTTTCACTTATAGAGGTATTCCACTTACCTAGTGTCTCAGATATACAGGTATAAATAAATATCTGTCTCATTTACAGAAGGTTCCATTAATAGAAGTGGACTTAGAATTACGTGTGGAATTTGTGTGTAGAATAAGAATGTGTAAACAAACAATGTTATCTCAGTTACAGAGGTTTATGCATATAAAATTTACTCGCTGTCTCAGTTATAGAGGTAACTATGATGATAAATCGAAAGAACAAATCCCAGATACAGAGTTTACCTCGTCCCACCAACAGAGGTAATTCAGTGCCAAAGTGTTGGGACTTGGGACCTTTGCATGAGTTCCAATTATGGAAGTTTCTCACTTATCCAGGTCCCACTTAATCAAATTTCACTGTACTAGTAATGAGCGGGAGTGTAGATACTACATTATTTAAAAAAAAAATTAAATATTTGGTGGGCCATCGTTTCACCAGTATCTCGTCTGGTGGTAAGCGATGATGCGGTCTACGTCATCCAATAGGTAAGTTTAAGAACTATGAAAGATATTAGTACTAAACGTGTTGCCTTGCGTTGGGTTTCTTCGTGTGATTGGAGTATTTGGGGGCCTACGCTAAGCCCCCACTCATCTCCAAAATACTGGTGCACTGGATTCACCTTTCATAGCCCAAGTATCTTACCTTCAAATGTTCCGTCAGTTCATTTACCCCATAAAAACTTAACTGTTTTTTACAAAGTATTGGCAAACGTTTTTCAGGTGAAAAATATGTATTGAGAGCAACTGATTCGGGTCGGCAACTTTCATTAAAATATTTGTGTTACAATAATATTCAGTTGGCCTATTACTTACTAGATAAACGTTATTTCGCCCTACAATTTATTTAAGAGGGGAAAATCATTGAATATTCTTCCCTCCCGCCTGGGTGAGGCGGGAGGGAAGAATATTCAGTGTCAGAAGAGTGTCAGACTCTTACTGACTAAAAACCAACCCGTTCCTACTCCTGCACTTCGAGCCGGAGTCCCGATAACCCGTTAAGTTTTCCGCGGCTCCGTATCGGCATCAACCTTATTGGACCCCATCCGAGGTTGTCTAATGGCTCTTTGAGGCGTGCGCGAAACGCGCCGCGTCGCGCCGTACGCCCGAGGGGTGATAGGGTTGGAGTGGGTATTGCCTGTAGCTAACTTCTAGACGGGGCGGACGAACCCTGGATGGGTCTGGAAGAGGCGGGTTTTGTGCAGACACATAGCCTACGCTTCCGAGGGTAGTTTACTAATTTTTTTATTTGTTTAAGGTTTATTACGGTTAGATAAACAATTTATTAAGGTTAGATTGACAATAAAAGTACATTCTCGTAACTAACTTTTACCCTCGGTTTTACCCGCGTGATTTAGCGTTTAACCTTTCTTGTCGGGAACGGGGTGGTTTTTAGTCAGTAAGAGTCTGACACTCCCTCCCGCCTCACCCAGGCGAGAGCAGTCATCCGATGATTTTCCCCATTAAAAAAAAATACCTTTCTTGTCACATCACATTACCATTCTATAAGTGGCTACTACTGTTGTGAGTGTGTGAATGTTTGAACATTAACCGCCATGCTTGTTGTTCATGCAGGTTGGCGATTGCAAACTTATAAATAGAAGTTACTAGCGACCCGCCCCGGCTTCGCACGGGTGCAATATGTATATACATACAAACCTTCCTTAAGAATCACTCTATCTATTAAAAAAAACCGCATCAAAATCCGTTGCGTAGTTTTAAAGATCTAAGCATACATACGGACATACAGCGAAAGCGACTTTGTTTTATACTATGTATTGATAAGCCCAGGTTTCCTCAGGATGTTTCCCTTCACCGTTTGTCAGTGAAGTTTAAATAGTCACAAAGTACATATAACTCGGAAAAATTAATATTGGTAGGTACTTGCCGTTGGTAGGTTTCGAACTAGTGCTGTCATGCATGAGAAGCGGGCGTCTTAAACCTCCAGTCCTTGTGTGTAATCACACTTAATATTATGAATGTGAAAAGTTCATTGTCTGTATATTTGGATGTTTGTCCGTGAATCACGTTAATAATACTAATCAGATTTCAATGAAATTTGGTATACAAGCAGGGTATAGACTGACTTAGGTGATAGGATTTGAACCCGATTAAATGCTCCTATAAGATAAAACAGTAATCATATTTTAAGCGGACGAAGTCACGGGCAACAGCTAGTCTTAACTACTCAAGAAGATTGATTAAGTATATATATATAATATATAATATCACGCCTTTTATCCCCGAAGGGGTAGGCAGAGGTGCACATTATGCCACTGTACAATGTAACACCCACTTTTCACTATTTATGTTATGAGTCCCATGTAATAGGGGGTGAGCCTATTGCCATATACCGGGCACAATTCCAGACTCCGTGCTACTACTGAGATTTTTTTTAAAACCCAGTAATACTTTGCCCGACCCGGGAATCGAACCCGAGACCTCTTGCCCGGCAATCGCAATTGCGACCACTCGGCCAACGAGGCAGTCTTCAGTCAGTCAATTGATTAAGTAGATAAAGCTAATTATACATAGATAATGAATATTACTTGAAACTTTATCCCTGCGCCTGTCTTATTTATTCATTTGAACATAATTGTTGTTTTGCTATATCTATTGTTTTAGGCGTTACATTCTGATAGACATTCGTCGTATGGGAGATAAAATCAATGTCAAAGTCAAAATCATTTATTTCAATTAGACCAGAAAGGCATTTTTGAATTAAAAGTGAAGCTATTTGCTCATTCCAAGGTGTAGATTCCTATGGAGAAGAACGAGCAGGAAACTTAATAGGTTACTCTTTTTCAATCAGGTTCACAATACAATTATAATTTAATATTTAAATAGATCTCACATTTACAATGATTATGTTAGTTAAAAAATATACAATTTAGCAACATGGCTGTATAATTACGTGTTTGGATTTCATTGAAACAACAATGTTTTTCGCTATCTTGTGGAGCCGGACTAGCTTGCATCCAAGCATATTATATTATAATCATTAATATTGTACGTATGTATGTATGTAAGCATGTATGTATATTGTATTGTACTCGTGTGTAGGTATATATATTATTATTATATTTATTTATGTTCATATCTGAAATATGTTAGTATAATCTTCTATTTTCTCAATTAATTCGTTGCTATGCTTCTTGCTCACACCATTAACTCTTCTCTGCATCACCCAAAGGTCAGACTGGGAAAAAATGCCTGCGGCGAAATGTCGCGTGGTGTCACTTCTAGGGCTACGTACCTTTATAAATGACGTTTTAGCTCCCACTTCTAAACTTTGAGTCATTTTATCTATGCCAAATCCTCTTTGGCTGCCTCGTTGGCCGAGTGATCGCAAGTACGACGCCAAGGCAAGGGGACTTGGGTTCGAATCCTGGGTCGGGCAAAGTGTAACTGGGTTTTTTAAATACGCCCGGTGTATGGCAATAGGCTCACCCCCTATTACATAGGACTCATAATATGTGAAAAATGGGTGTTACATCGTACAGTGGCAGGTGCACCTCTGCCTACCCCTTCGAGGATAAAAAGGCTTAATGTTATGTTAATATTTCTTCATTACCTAACTGACGGCTTAATAGATTTTTAATTTTCATACCCCGTCATCATTCCTATAGTATTCATCCAAATAATAAAAACTTCTGACATAATATCAAGTAAAACTCCTTAGACTCATCCACGATTAAGTGGGCAAACAATCTGATGAAAACTTGTTACATTTTTCAGTACCTACGCTGTTAAGTAAACGGTCCCCTTCAGCGAACTCTGAACGAGTAATGACGTCACATTTAAACTTTTTCCAGAATACATTTATCGGTATAACTGGGTATAAGTCGAGGTTTTTTTTTTCCTTTTTCAAATTTTGTTCTAAAGAGGTTGTCTACATAGACAACCTCTTTATGATCGATCCAGCGATCCAGAAATATTGCATTTCCATATCGAATAATTTCGCAACGTCACTATTTAGTACTTGTCATAACGTTGCAACACTGAAATTGTCTAATTTGGAATCGAATTAAAATTCCGAGTATAGTAAATTGTATTGTGAACCTGATTGAATAAGAGTAACCTATGGAGTTTCATGCTCGTTCTTCTCCATAGGAATCTACACCTTGGAATGGGCAAATAGCTTCACTTTTAATTTTTTTGTTGACGTTCTAAAGTGCCTTTCTGGTGTAATTGAAATAAATGATTTTGACTTTGACTTTGAATGATTAGGGTGCTGTATTGGAATTAATTTGTTGTGGTGATCTGTATTTATTCGTAAGAAGATTGTTCTTAGATTATATCCTTATCTATATGTTGCTTATTAAAAGTGTGGGAGAGCCATGTTTCGGCACGGATGGACCGGCTCGACCGTAGTGATACCACGGCATCACAGAAAACCGACGTGAAGCAACGCTTGCGTTGTGTTTCATCGTGTGAGTGAGGTTACTGGAGGCCCAATTACAATTCCAGTCTCCCTAATCCGTGAATCCCCAACAATCCTCAAATAACTGGTCCCCAAAAGGCCGTTAACACACTTGTAACGCCTCTAGTGTTCCAGGTGTCCATGGACAACGCCGATTGCTTACCATCCGGTGATCCGTCTGCTCGTTTACCGGCTTATGCCATAAAAAAAGGTTTTGTTCAATAGACTCTTTTATAATCCTAAGGGTGTTGATAGATAACATGTGATACCTACAGTGTGTAATTAAACTGTACAACTGTACTATACATCAGCATTTAGTGTACTCAATAACATTAGCTCATATTGTTTTCAAACTTACATTCCTTTATTCAGTTTTAAACTCTAATCCAAGTAACTCAGAATCCACCTTCGATATTTCGCCACATCAGTGAACAATGTGTACTGATTAGGGTCACATATGGGTGCGTCTGTCCTGCTGACTGTAGTAGAAACGATACCACGAACGTGCCAAGCGCCAGACTCTTGAGTCTTGGCACCTGGAACATCTGGCACGAAGACTACTAGACCACCTCCACTGTCACCATTGCAAGCTGACGTCCCTGCAAAGACAAATACACTTAAAATTATTAAAGCCTTCATGATATTAATCTAGTACAAATATAGGTTTAATTAAAAAAAAAAAATAGACATTGGAGACTATACATTTATAAAATTTTATTTATCGTCACATAACATCACACCTTTTATCCCTGAAGGAGTAGGCAGAGATGCACATATTGCACACAACGGCACCTGAGAACCCAAGCAGTCACCGGTGACCGCTATTCACTAACTACATTATAGACCTTATTTCCCATGTTTAGAGACTACTTTTGTATGAAAAAAATGAGAGTACGATATTTCAACAGAACTGGACAATG